AGATATGAGCACTCATTTATGGACACAATGAACTACGAAGTTCTTGCCTTAACTTTTTCGACGCCCTAAAGCCGCTTGTCAAATTATTGAATCTTGCGAAGACATAGACGTTACTAATGATTGGTCTGTCAAAGTGGTTTTCCTTCCTCTGCTTGTATGGTCCGTGGGAGGTATATCATATTTCTCTTACCACCCATTTCCAAAAGGCATTCCCCTATCCCCCACTTAAGGCCGCGGAAATCTAGGGAGGGCTTCTTTGATAAGCTCGGAAGATATTGACAGAACTTTGTTCTGAAGCTTTGAAGTATCCACCATATAACCTAGATCTTATACTGTCTGATTAATATTTATTTCGTTATCTGTTGACCAAAATATACTTGATTAAAATTGATTTCTTTTTAACTTTTTATGTTGCTAAAAAAAAAATATATATGTTATTCATTAATTATTATAAAGCGTTGAAAAAATTTCTTGTGTTAAAATAATTACAGTGGCTTATTTCATCCAACAATGTTTTAAATTTTTAAAACACTATCTTAAAAATGAATTAGAAAACAATGAAGTTTTTAATGTAAGTAAGGAAAGGCACGCTTATTGTACATAATAAATGATACAAAGTATATAAAAGTTGTTTTTGTTTCGCTCAAAGGGGGTTTGACAGCTTATTTCATCCAAATTATCATTTGCACTTAATCGCCAGTATGTCGCGCTGTGCAACGAAATTTTTTACCCTAATATTTTTAAAGTATTTGCAACCAAATGTCAAATTTTTTGTGTGATTTTGGACGTGCAACAATAAATAAGTTATTTTTAAAAAAATGGGACGACCAATTACAATTGACCACAGAGAAATAGTGCTAACCCATTTCAAGGACGGTCAACCTCAGCGGAAAATTCCGGATTGATGCAGAGCATCATTAACTTCGTGAGAATAGGTCTCAAAATATAGGCCGAAGTGTACCTAGTAAAATTTTCAACTCAGCTGACGAGCGATATATTGTCAGAAAAATCCAGTGGAATCCAAAATTAAATGCTCCTGATATAGTCAGGAAGGTACAGATAGAACTAGGCAAGACGTGCAATGCGGAAACTGTCCGCCGCGTGCGTCGACACTCCCACTTTAATGGTCGAGTAGTTAAAAAAAACTCTTAATAAGCAAAAAATTTTGGAGCAGTCGGCTTGCTAATGCTAAGGAGCATGTCTACAAAAAATTAGACTTTTGGAACAGGGTCATATTCTCAGACGAGCATAAATCCAATATTTCTATATCAGATGACATAACTTACGTGTGGCGGAAATCAAATATTGAGCTCAAAAAAAGAAACTTAAATGCTACAGTAAAGCGTGGCGGTAGAAGTGTTATGGTTTGGGCCTGTATGTCAGCCGACGGCGTTGGGAATATAGAGTTTATTGATGGTAACATGGACAAAGCAATGTATCTCAACATTTTGAAAAAATTTACTCCAGAGTGCTGTGAAACTTGGAATTCCTAAAACATTTTACTCCTACCAAGACAACGACCGAAAATATAAGGTCGGCATCGTATAGTCTTGGTGGATTTAGAACTACCCAGAATTGATGATACCGCCGGAGCAGACCCTAAACATGAAGTGAGGGAGATTGCTGACATTCTACAGATATCAGCAGGCAGTGTACACACCATAATACACGAACATTATGAAAAAGGTGTTTTTCAAATAGGTGCCGCGTTTGCTCACACCGGAGCAAAAACCACAACGAATCGATGATTCAAAGAGCTGTTTGGACATGTTTGCGCGCAATATGTCGGAGTTTTTACGTCGGTACATTACGATGGATGAAACATGGATCCACCATTTCACTCCAGAGTCAAATCGGCAGTCTGCTGAGTGGCATGCAGCCGGTGAAAGCCGCCTAAAGCGATCAAAGGCGCAGCAGTTGGCTGGTAAGATTATGGCGTCTGTATTTTGGGTAGCGCATGGAATAATATTCATCGACTATCTCCAGAAGGGGAAGACCATCAACAGCGACTATTATATAGCGTTATTGGAGCGTTTGAAAGACGAAATCGCAAAGAAACGGACTCATATGGCGAAGAAAACAGTTTTGTTCCACCAAGACAATGCACCGTGTCACAAGTCGATGAAAACGATGGCAAAATTGAACGAATTGAGCTACGAATTGCTGCCGCACCCACCGTATTCTCCAGATCTGGCCCCCAGCGACTACTGGCTCGGCTCTTCGCAGACCTCAAAAAGATGCTCCGTGGTAAGAGATTTGGCTCAAATGATGAAGTAATCGCCAAAACTAACGCCTATTTTGAAGGCAAAGAAAAATCGTTTTACAAAGGCGGTATCGAAAGATTGCAAAAGCGTTGGAATGATTGTATCTCCCTAAAAGGGGACTATGTTGATGAATAAAAACGAATTTTGGAAAAAAAATGTGTTTTAATCAGGGACCGAAAATAACAGTTATTTTAAAATTTTTTATGAAAAAAAGCAGCAACAAAAAGTTGTCTAAACTCTTATTTAAGTAAATAGTTATCATTCTAACAACTTTTATCCTTAATATTATGCATTTTTTATATATGAGCTTTTTAAAATAAAACTCAAAAAATAATAATTAAATTTGATTTTTATTATATTCATCAAAAATAATAATTATTATATGCCTTTTATTTTTTTCGCGCAGAAATAACTCTTAAAATTTGCTTCTTATTTTAAAACGCACAAATAACTGGTATACTTGCGTTATACATTGTGACCGAAAAGTTTCCGGTCATAAATAAATAAAACGCAAAATTCTTAATCTTCATCAATATTTATTTTATCTCCTTCAAAATATGCTCCATTAGAAGCGATACACAAATGCCAACGTTTCTTCCAATCATCAAAACATTTTTATAGGCGCTTTCCGGTATGGCTTTGAGTTCCCTCTGCGAATTCTGTTTTACGTCTTCTATGGATTCAAAACGCGTTCCTCTGAGTGGTAATTTGAGGTTGGGAAACAGGAAAAAGTCACACGGTGCAAGATCAGGTGAATACGGTGGCTGTTCGATGGTATTTATTGAATGTTTGGCCTTAAAATCGTTGATAATGTTGAACAAATTGAGGTGAATCGGAACAAGCCGGGCGTTGACACGTCGCATACACAAATTGTCCACCAAAATCAAACGAGCCATCTCACGACCGATGCCTAGCTCTCGTGCTATCTCTCTAACACTCACATGAGGATTTTTGAACACGATTTCCTTTGCCTTTTCAATGTTTTCGTCGGTGGTAGAGGTCGAAGGTCGTCCAGAACGCGGCATGTCTTCGACGGTCGTACGACAGTCCTGAAAGGCTTTGTACCACTCATAAACTTGAGTTTTCGATAAAACTGATTCCCCATAAGCCTTTTGTAGCATTCGCAACGATTCTGCACACGAAATTTCGTTCGAAAAACAAAATTTGATGCAAACTCTTTGTTCAATATTTTTTTCCATTGTTTTTTTCGCAACGCACTACTGAGGTGAACTGGTTTCAACAGCTGCCGTAAACGAACTGTCTGACAGATCGCGCTCATTTTTGGCATAGTAATTAAGGACAGTGCTGCCAAACTACATAAACTTAAAATATCGAAAATTATACAGCGCGCGAATTTTAAATGAGAACCTCCGAAAACCTTTCGGTCACAATGTTATAATATAAAAAGCAAGAGTATCGCGCAAATTCTGCGCGATATTTTTAAAATGAAAATATAAAATGCAATTTTCATACAAGGTAGTTGTTTTTGTAATTCCATAGAAAATGTTTTAAAAGGTTGGTGCAGGTAAAGATTTAGTTCAGTTTTTTGTTTTTGTATTTTGGATTCATATTTTGTATTTATATTTGTATTTTGTAGGAGAACAAATTTGTATGCAAAATACAAAAACAAAAAACTAAACTAAATCTTTACCTGCACCAACCTTTTAAAACATTTTCTATGGAATTACAAAAACAACTACCTTGTATGAAAATTGCATTTCATATTTTCATTTTAAAAATATCGCGCAGAATTTGCGCGATACTCTTGCTTTTTATATTATATAACGCAAGTATACCAGTTATTTGTGCGTTTTAAAATAAGAAGCAAATTTTAAGAGTTATTTCTGCGCGAAAAAAATAAAAGGCATATAATAATTATTATTTTTGATGAATATAATAAAAATCAAATTTAATTATTATTTTTTGAGTTTTATTTTAAAATGCATATGATAACAGTTATAAGATGATTTTTATTTTTTTTATGATAACTGTTACGGTCCCTGGTTTTAATTAGTTAGTCACACACATTATTGAACGAAGTGTTAAAAAATTTTAAAATTGGTATAGGATGAAATAAAGTGAGAGCTACTGTATATAATTATAAAAAATTAATTTCAAATAAATAATTATAACTTATAATTTATTATCTTTACCACAGACAAAAAGTGATTAAGAGGTAATAAATTTTTGTCTTTTGCCTTTTAAAAAAATGTTTTGAGTATGTGGTAACTTAACATATTTCGAAAATTAATATACGCGAGCAAAAACTGATATTCAAAATTTTGGTTGAAAAACACTACGTTTTAATTATAGCTGTTAATACCAGAGTTTAAATAAAACTTATTAACTTTCGTTTGCTTTGTGTAACATATGTTCAAACACGTTGGTTTTTATAACTAAAAAAAAAGAAAAAAAGTCGATATTCAGTACTAAAGGATATACATAATACCAAAAAAAAGCTAGCTGAAAAAATACTTTAGTTCAAAATCTCAATATCTCAACAATTTATGAAAAAACAAAAAATTATTTTTTTTAGTATTTAGCGTTTAGTATAAAAATTTATTATATAAGGCATTGAAGCATATTTTACTGCCAAATTGTGTTTTGGCTAGACTTTTCTTTGATACCTATATGATTTTTTCATGTCTTGGAGTACTTATGCCATTTAGGTAGGAAATATCCTTTAAAATATCATTATGTTATCGAATATATAATAACACATTTCTTCTCTTATAGATTGTATCAACATTATGCAGATTATCTATTATCTACTCATTCCTCTATTTCTTCATCAAGTGGAGTCAAAAAATGTAAACAATTACAAAGCAAACAATACAAGTAGTAGCAAAACATCAATTTTATTTGCATCGTTGCCGTCAAAAGAAATATCATTTGCATCAACTTCGTCAAGGTCTTTAACTGGTTTCAATTTTCCTGTAGCAAGTTTGAAAACTGTGCAAAATGTTAATGAATCTGTTATATGTCATCAGTGCGACAGTAATAAAAATCATAGCAAAACCATTACAGGTTCTATAAAGTTTGATACGTTTCTAAATCATCTGGTAGTGGATACTATAACAGGCCGTGTATTTGTTGGTGGTGTTAATCATTTATACCAACTTTCTCCGGATTTGGAATTGCACGAATCTGTTCAAACAGGTCCACGAAATGATTCTGTTGAATGCACATTTTTGGATTGTCCAGCGCATGCTGTTCCTAAACTTACAGATAATTACAATAAAGTATTATTAATTGATCGCTCAACTTCACGTCTAATTGCTTGCGGTTCATTATTCCAAGGAATATGTACAGTACGTAATTTACAAAATGTTAGCATTGTGGAACAAGAAGTACCTGATGCAGTTGTTGCGAATGATGCTAATTCATCAACAGTGGCATTTATTGCCCCTGGTCCACCTCAGCATCCTGTAACTAATGTGCTTTATGTAGGCGTAACATACACGAACAACTCGCCTTATCGTAGTGAAATACCAGCCGTTGCATCAAGATCTTTAGAAAAAACTAAAATGTTTCAAATAGCATCATCGGCAGTTACTACTGGCACACGCGCATTTATAAATTCATATGCTCGTGAAGCCTACTTTGTTAATTATGTGTACGGTTTTAGTTCAGAACGTTTCTCCTATTTTTTAACAACACAATTAAAGCACAATCACCATTCTTTACCAAAAGAATATATAACTAAATTAGTGCGTATTTGTCAGGAGGACTCAAATTATTACTCGTATACTGAAATTCCTGTTGACTGTATAAGTGATGCGCAGGGTGGTACTAAATATAATTTAGTACAAGCCGGGTTTTTAGGCAAGCCTAGTGTTGATCTTGCAGATAGCTTAGCTATAACAATTCAAGATGATGTGTTATTTGGAGTATTCTCTAAAGGTCATGGCAACGTATCTACAGATAAATCAGCACTATGTGTTTATTCTTTAAAATCCATTCGTCGAAAATTTATGCAGAATATTAAATCATGCTTTAGCGGTAATGGATCAAGAGGATTAGATTTCATTTCACCTAATATGCCATGCGTATCGACAGTAAGTAACATTATACTTATTTATTTCAGATTATATAGTATAATTTTTTACAGAAACTTCAAACTATTGGTGAAGATTTTTGCGGTTTAGATGTGAATTCTCCACTTGGTGGTGAACAACCGATAACTGCAGTGCCAGTTTCGATATTCAATACTAAACTAACTGCAGTTGCAGCAACAAGCGCTAGTGGATATACTGTTGTCTTTATTGGTACAGCAAATGGGTATATTAAAAAGGTAGTGATTGAATCAATAACTTCTGCTAATGAATACGCAAGCATACCGATTAATGTCGGCTCACCGGTCAATCCAGATATGCAGTTTGATAATCAAAATCTTAACATATATGTTATGACAGACCATGAAGTAGCTAAAGTTAAAGTATTTGACTGTTCAAAGTATTCAACTTGTGCAGAATGTTTAGGCGCCAAGGATCCTTATTGCGGCTGGTGTTCCTTGGAAAATAAGTGTAGCCCCCGTTCAAATTGTCAAGATGATGCTAACGATCCCCTATATTGGGTAAGTTATAAAACAGGAAAATGCACAACTATTACCAGTGTAGTACCACATCAGTTGCAACGTACGACTGCGCGTACTTTGGAGTTGACAATTGATCATTTACCGCAATTAAAAGAAAATTTAGTTTGCGCATTTACAACAGAAGAAAAAGCTTTATTTACAAATGCTACTAAAAAACGTAATGGAGTAAATTGTACAACTCCTCGCACAGATATGTTGCCACAAATTCAACAAGGAAAACACCATTTTACTGCAAAATTGTCTGTACGCACTAAAAATGGACCAGATTTGGTATCAACTGACTTTACATTTTTTGATTGTAGTACACATTCCTCATGTACTCGTTGCGTTTCGTCAGAATTTCCATGTGACTGGTGTGTTGAAGCACATCGATGTACACATGATACAGCTGAAAACTGTCGAAATGATATATTAGTTACTGGAGTCAGTCGTATTGGTCCCAGTTATAGGTCAGGACCAGGTTTTTGTCCCACAATTAATGCTACTGGGGATGGAAGTGAAGTACTTGTGGCTGCTGGAACAAGTAAATCAATAAAAGTTAAAGTGCACATAATTGGCCAATTTATTGTACAAACTCGATTTGTTTGCCAATTCAATATTGAAGGTCGGGTTACAAGTTTGAACGCACAGTTACTGGGTGATACAATTTACTGCGACAATATGGAGTTTCAATACACTTCACGGTCACCAAATTTAACAGCAACATTTGCTGTAATTTGGGGCGGGTCAAAACCGTTGGATAATCCCCATGACATACATGGTAAGATTTTATGAAAATATTGACATTTTAATTTCTGAAATCTCATATAATCGTAATTAAATAAGTCAACAATGATTCGAACTGGACTGACTGATTAATAAACTAAAGGTATCAGAATGTGTAACTTTTATTCCAATATATCGTTGACGATATCATTATCAATCCAGTTGTGTTTGGCCAGTGAAAATGATAATGATATTTAATTTTAAAAGAAATGTTACCAACTTCAATTGTATGATAACGTTTTCTTTTAAATCAGCATAAGTTTGTATAATTAATATTCCATTGCCTCGGTCATATATGCACACATATATACCTCAGATTCCAAGAAGTACTAGACCTTCCTTTTGTACCAACACACATGATTCAAACATTTTGTCCTCTCATAGCAAAATGGCTGCCTCTGCAGACGTATCGTATACCCATTTGGAGCTTTCTGCTGATTTGTAAAATTCATTAATTACAAGTACATCCGACTTTAATTCCAAAGCTATTTGGGATAAGAGCTTTTGGCCAGCCTCACATCGATTTAAATTCAATTGCAGATTTTTAATCATTTTTTGGATTTAAGCTTCTGCATAGTCTTCCTGTGGAATTCGCATTTGGAACTTCTTGAGTAGTGTAGATTACCACCCTTGCAGTTTTCCAAAAATAGAATGAATTTTGAATGAAATAGAATTTTGAATTTTAGAATGAATTTTTTCTCCGCATTTTATGATCTTGATCTATCATTATCGCTTTGGCTCTGTCTAGCAGCATGTCCAAATTGAAGGCATTTAAAACACCTCATGGATGCGATAAGCTTTCTGATCCTATTGCGCATCCAGCCCACTCTGATTGAAGCAGCTGTGATCAATACACTGGCATCCTTAGTAGGGAGGTCAGTAATCGCTGGTCGTGTGTTGTCTCTTGCAGAACGCCAAAACTTGACGTTGAAGTCGTTTACGTTTATTACTGGAAATTGATGAGCTATCGACGCGCACACCTCTTCGTTGGACGTTACCTCGTCCAGATCCCTGCATTCTATAAGGGTTTGTTGTGTTAAGGATTTTACACTAGCATAGTCCTGAAGTATATTCTTCATTTCAGTACAGAGGTCATTAGCTAAAGTTCCAGCTTCTTTGGTAAGCTGAATCAATATTTCTCCCTTCCCTGTTTTTTCGATTTTGTTTACGTTTTTTCCGAATTCTTGAAGTTCTAGTTTTGATTTAATGAGCTTTAACATTTCAACGTTAGATATCTTTTAATACATCTGTATATTGTTTTACATTGGGTAAAAACAATATAAATTGTGTAGCTTTTAACGTTCCAATCACTTGTGTTCCTTAACAAATCTTTGGGTTATTTGCGAGTTTATAAAAAAAGGGTTGAGTCCTTAATTTTTTCTAATCGCAAGGAAAACATTTGTGTTTAACTATTAAGCACTATACACCATTAAAGATTTATATTACCTATTGACCATGTCAAATGGTAAAAATTCTGAAGCTATTAAATTTAACTTATTGTAATGCTTAACTGAAGTTCTATTTCGGAAATCCGTCTTTTTTAGAAGGATGTGGACTCAACCGAAAAATAGTTCGTGCTATAAATGCGTTCAGCTTTTATACACATCTAATATTAGAATTATACCTGAAGCCACCGAGCATTGTAAACAAGCGGCCTTTAACAATAAAAACATTCGGCTCAAATACTTTCATTTTTCAAAATTTCGCTAAATTCATCCACGAATGTTCAAAAAAGTTGTTCATATCGTGTGGGTATTATACTCGGAAAGAATTAAGAAAAAATTTCGAATATTCAGTAAGACCGTTTAAATGGTAACGCAATCGTTTAATTAATAATGAACTTATTCTCCATAACTCAATAACACAGTAGGAACAACAAATGAAGGCCTTTACATATGGACTTTCTATCTTTCATAAAAGGTCATTTTAATGTCATATCGACACTTTCAACATACAGTTTCAACGTTTTAAAATTACATATCAACAAAAATAAAATTTAAACGAATTGAAACCAAATAATTTATCAACTTTGTTTCCTAATTTATTCATATTTATTTTAAATAACTTTGAATAACTTTATTTCGTTACAGTTGTTATTTATCGCTGTCGTGATATGGCTGATAGCTGTGGTATGTGCCTTGCTCTTTCGGAAAAGTACAATTGTGGTTGGTGTTCCTCAACTAATACGTGTGAAGTTGAAGAGCAATGTAACAAAAACAACGAAGGAAAAACTGATTGGTTAAACAGAATGGAGACTTGTCCTAATCCTGAAATACATTCTTTTGTGCCGAAAACTGGACCTTGGGAAGGTGGCACGAATATTACTATAAGCGGTATTAATTTGGGTAAAAATTTTACTGATATCTATTCCGGAGTTCGTATCGCCGGCATTAATTGTATGCCATTCCAGCAGTATTATATTGACACAAAACAAATTGTTTGTACGGTAGATAGTCCGGGAGAACAACTATATCGTAGTGGTCGTATAGTTGTGCAAATTGGAGATTACAGAGGTGAATCAAAAGAAGATTACGAATTCGTTGATCCTAAAATGAGTAATTTTTCACCCAGACATGGACCTGTGTCAGGTGGTACTCAAATTCGTATACTTGGAAAATATTTGAATGCTGGATCTCGTATACAAGTTTTTATAAATGAACACTTACCATGTGAGATTTTAAGTGTTGATGCATCGCAAGCTATTTGCCGTACTGCCTCCTCTCCAGGTATAATTGAAGGTCGATTAAAAATGGTATTCGATAACGGATTACGTGAATTTAACGACTATAACTTTAAATATGTTTTGGATCCTTCAATAGAACAAGTATCATCAGGACCAAGTGGTCAAATAAAGGTACCAAAAGGTATACCTGCTGGTGGAATTAAAATTTCAGTAACTGGCAAGCAATTTGAATATATTCAAAACCCTAGTATGTATGTATATTTTAAAGGTTCTATATACTTAAGTCAATGTGGTGTTTTAAGTCCAACTGAAATGGTTTGTGATTCACCAATAATTAAGACTAATGGTGAAATGCTTGATGCAGAAAATCCAGAAAAACTTGAATATGGATTTAAAATGGACAATGTTGTGCAAGTACAAAATTTATCTAGTAAACACAACAATTATTTTGAGCTTTATCCAAATCCTGTTTATTATAATTTTGAGGAACGGGTTAAATATTACAAAAGTGAATATTTAACTATTAATGGACGTCATTTAGATCGAGCGTGTAAAGAATCAGATGTAGTAGTTCTGATTGGAAAGGCTGTTTGCAACATAACGTCACTCTCAAGGCAACAATTAACTTGTCGCCCTCCACCTGAATCAAATATAGATAGTAGTAGTGAAACTGGTCCAGAAGTCATTGTACGTGTAGGTTCAACTCTTGAATATCGTATTGGAGTGTTAAGCTATGCTTCTCCAAATATAATGCACGGTTTAGGAAAAAATGCTTTATTTGCGGTAATTGCTGGAGTTGTAATACTACTTTTGATATTTGTTGCTCTATTAGTTGCATATAAGAAAAAAACTTCAGAATCTAATAGAGTTTTAAGAAATATGCAAGAACAAATGGATATATTAGAATTGAGAGTAGCAGCAGAATGCAAGGAGGCATTTGCGGAATTGCAAACAGAAATGACCGATTTAACTGGTGATCTTACCTCAGGCGGTATACCATTTCTTGATTATCGTACCTATGCTATGAAAATATTATTTCCTAATCACGAGGATCATATTGTTTTACAATGGGAACGTCCGGAACTATTACGCAAAGAAAAAGGCTTGCGATTGTTTGGGCAACTTATAATGAATAAAACTTTCTTGTTATTATTTATAAGAACGTTAGAATCTAATCGATATTTTTCAATGCGTGAACGTGTTAATGTTGCATCGCTTATAATGGTTACTCTACAGTCAAAGCTCGAATATTGTACTGATATACTGAAAACATTACTAAGTGATCTGATTGAAAAATGTATTGAAGGTAAAAGTCATCCAAAGCTGCTACTTCGTCGTACTGAAAGTGTTGCTGAAAAAATGCTTAGTGCGTGGTTCACCTTCTTACTTTTTAAATTTCTCAAAGAATGTGCTGGAGAACCACTTTATATGCTTTTCCGTGCCGTTAAGGGTCAGGTCGATAAAGGGCCTGTAGATGCGTGTACTCACGAAGCACGATATTCCTTGAGTGAAGAGAAACTAATTCGTCAGTTAATAGACTTTAGGCCAATGACGGTATATGCTAGTATAACTCAACAACCCATATTTTGTAATAATATGGAATTGCTGCCTACACACACAGAGAATGTGCCTGTTAAGGTTTTAGATTGTGATACAATTGGTCAAGTTAAAGAAAAATGCTTGGATACAATTTATAGGAATATACCATCAAGTCAAAGACCAAGAAAAGATGATTTAGATTTAGGTAAGTTATACTTCATCTCGTGTAAAGGTGATTTATTTATTTACAACAAATAAGAGCAAAAAGGCTTGATTTTGATAAGTTATTGTATATATCTTGAACATTAAATATATAAGCAATATATTTGAATATTAAAATAAGTATAAGAATATGTTTTTACTTACATTAAAAAAAATTTTTTTTGTGTAAACATAGAATGGAGGACTGGTGCTACTGGCAGGGTGATATTGTATGATGAAGACACAACATCGAAAACTGAAAGTGAATGGAAAAAATTAAACACATTACAACATTATAATGTTCCAGATAGTGCCGGATTAAGTTTGGTGCCAAAGCAAAGTTCTATCTACAATTTTTCTATATTATCAGACAAAAATGAAAAATCACATAAGTTAGTATATATAGTATATATTAAATATCAATATTTTATAGTAACACCATATATTTATATATATAGATACGAAACTCTAAATTTATCAAAATATACATCCTCTTCGCCTACATTTAGTCGCGCAGGAAGTCCATTAAATAACGATATGCATGAAAATGGTCTAAAATATTGGCATTTAGTAAAACATCATGACAGCGACATACAAAAAGAAGGAGAACGTGTAAATAAACTAGTATCAGAAATATATTTAACTCGTTTGTTAGCAACAAAAGGAACACTACAAAAATTTGTTGATGATCTTTTTGAAACAATTTTTAGCACTGCTCATAGAGGTTCTGCTTTGCCATTAGCAATTAAATATATGTTTGATTTCTTAGATGATCAGGCTTTGCTGCATGGTATTACTGACCCTGAAGTCGTTCACACTTGGAAGAGTAATAGTTTACCATTAAGGTATGACATATATTTTTATATTTTGCAGAAGTTATAATATTTATATCTTATTGTTTTAAAGATTTTGGGTTAATCTTATAAAAAATCCGAATTTCGTGTTTGATATTCACAAATCTAATATAGTAGACTCATGTCTATCAGTTGTAGCTCAAACGTTTATGGACTCCTGCTCTACTTCAGATCACCGCTTAGGTAAATAACTTTACGAACTGTCCTAATAAATAAAATTTTACAACTAAAAATTTATAGGAAAAGATTCACCGAGCTCTAAACTTCTCTATGCGAAGGATATTCCAGAATATCGAAAATGGGTAGACAGATACTATCGTGATATTAGAGAAATGCCGCCAATTTCAGATCAAGATATGAATGCAATGTTAGCCGAGGAATCAAGAGTAAATTAATACAATAACTTTTTATTATTTTCACTAACCTGATTTTTTTCAGCTTCATACAACAGAGTTTAACACAAATTGTGCTCTTCATGAGTTGTATACATATGCTGTTAAATATAATGAACAGCTGACAGTTACTTTGGAAGAAGACGAATTCTCACAAAAACAGCGTCTTGCCTTTAAATTAGAACAAGTCCACAATATTATGTCAGCGGAATAAAATTTAACTTAATATACATATATATATATATATTTTATTATAGTGATATAAAAATATTTATCAAAAAAGTGTGTAATGCTTATAATTAATTTTACCATTTTTGTTGTAAAATTATATACTCATATAAATATGTAAATTTGCCCATAAATTAATGAATTCAAAAAAAATTTATATATATAATTTTAATTTTAAAATATGTTTAAAAGAGGTGGGCGTCATTTTGTCTAAAAATATTTAATTATAACTATTTATGTTTAAAATTACTATAAATTTAATTATTTGATTCGACTTTAAGAACATAATTTACTAACTTTTTTAATCGTCTAACGTAATAATTTAATAAACTCGAAATTATTATTATTTACTTTAAAATTTTCGTAAAACGTAACCTTACTCTGCTAAGAAATTCATAAATTCTGAATAGATGCTATTATAGCATAAACGAACATCGCTCTTAACCGAATAATATCGCTAGTTCACAGTTTTTTTTATTCATTCTAAGAACGTTCTTTTTAATAATCGGATGTATTTATCAGAGAGCGCTCACTTCTTTCTTTTTAAATATCTGAATAATTTATCCGTAAAATCAGAAAATTTTGTTTATAATTTGAATGTAATGAGGAATATGTGAATATACAAATTTATCATATGTAATGGAACATCTGCAATTTATTTATTTATATTTGTATTAAAGTGAACATTTACGTATACCATATAATAACTAATCTGCTTATCATGTGGGGCTTATTGTTTACATAACTTAAGTATTTTTAATTCTTTACCGACATTTCATTAAAACACATTTGCGAGCAGATCAAACAATATACAAAAATTATATGTAAGATCACTTCCAAACTTATTACTATCCATATGTTCTATGCACAATAAACATTGCTGCTTTGGTTTATGTTCCACAGTATAATCACCACAAGCATCGCTGTTGTTGAAATGTATTCTTTTTTGTCCAATTTTCTTAAGTCAGTTAACAGTAAAGTGATATTTTCTGTATTTTACTGATTTTGAAAACATAATTAAGAGAATTGTGGAACCAATTTAAGTGTTGCAATAACAATAGCATTAAAGTGAAACCTATACAGGAATAAAGAATTTCTTAACTGAGTAACTTGTCTGAATTTTTATAATCTTGATCATTTAAAGAAAACATTTTTATATATTATAAAAAACTACATCTGATAATCATGATATAATTAAAATGGATATATATTTACATTTTCCGAACATACTATTAACAAACATTCCATTTGACATTTGCAAAAAAAAAATTAGTTTTAAAGCTTTTAATTAATAAAAGGTCCATTAAACATTCGTTCATGCATATAGAAGTGACGAACTGACTGATTTTATACATTCATACATACATACATATATCGACATAGGTAACTATATATATATATATATATATATATATATATAATATATATATATATATATATGCACACGTCTTTAAATACATATAAATTAATGTTTGTATGAGTGAAGAGGTTTTTTTTGTTGAATTATAAATTATATTGTATAAAATTATGTGTTTTATATTTTACGTTTTTTAAAAGTTTGTATTCAACTAAAAAAATGTACCAAAGAATTATAAAATATATATTTATTATATATTTTATTTAAATATCATTTGTAGATAAAATATATAATTTAAATATATATTGTATGTATACATATATTTTTATACGTGTGAAGTTAATTCAATTTGTTATGCCAAGCTATTTTCAAAGGCTGTAAATTCTTTTTACAATAAATTAAATGCAATAAATTCTTTTTCTTCCAAATAATAAATGTAATCCCACTTACATTTTTCATAAATAAATACTTTAATGAAATATATAGTGTTAGCGAATTAATTTCAAATGAATATAAAATTATTTTACTTGAATACTTACTTTTAAAGTTTGCATTCTAAATGTATAATATATATTTAATTTAAGATTAATTATTTTTAGGAAGCAACAAATTTCGTTTATATTTATTATATTACTTTGTCTAATATGCAGACATTTGATTTATTATGTGAATGGTAAATTATGCAAATGAAACATTTTTTAAATTCAATCCTTTAAATAAAATTTTAATTGAAGGAGTTTAATGTATTTTGATGTGTCATATAAGACCAAAAATAGTCAAATGTTTCTTATAACACTAATATGCATTTGCATGTGCCAATAATTACCAGTATATGTACACATATATGTACTCCTAAAAAAATTGCATTAATACTTATACAGTGAGTTTAATGCATTAAATTTAAAAGAAAGTTAAAAATGATTTAAGTGTCATGCACAGATAAAAAACAACGGAGATTTGCTATTATTTATTAAAAATTACAGCATTTTGCCTTTTGCAGAAAAGAGATTTTTGTGCATTTGTTACTGATTTATTTGTTAATGATTTGTTACTGCGCCATAAAATTTACTTATATAATATTTATATGGAATACACATATATAAAATATATTATGAAACTCGACTTTTTTCAATTTTTAGTTTTTTCTATTCATTTTCAGTTTTGTTTTTTTTTAATTTTGTCGTTTATTATAGAATTTATTATAGAAAATAGATCGAATTATAGATGTAACAAATCGATTAAAATTTAACAAATATTTGTTCAGAATTACATTATCACTTTCTAATTATAGCTCTATGTAACATGAACTGTTTTTCTACAATCGATCTAAGAAGTCATCTAATTATTGTTTACTGATTTATGTTGTTGGAATATGTATATATCGCCCATTCACATGTTTAAAAAATATTTTAAAAATATACAAATTTATGTATATGAAATGAATAATTTTTGAAACATAACATTCAATGTATGTATGAATAACATGATTTATGGTGTACATATATGATATTCATAAAATATTTCTAAATAAAATTTAATTTATTTCATATCAAATGCAATAACACAGTATGCTTGAAGATTAGAAGAGTGATATGTGAAACTTGATGTATCATTTCGACTGAGTGAAAACAGGATGCAAAATAAAAAGATTCCTGATACATAAACATCTCTGATATTAGATTTAATATCACATTGATACAGTGAAAACTAAATTTATGTTTTTAGCAACTGATATGTAACTGATATTAACACACGCTCCCACACCATTAATTTACGCTGATATTGTAAAAAGTTTTGTAATGATAAAAACGTCAATTTTTTACAACTAAAATATTGTTAGTGAATTATGGACTAATTACTAATGTTTATAGTTCCACAGAATTTGATATGTGTTCAAATTAATTACTTTTTTATAATATAGCATTTTTAATATAACGGTTTGTCAATTATGAAACTCAAAATGTGGAGATAGGATTCATACTATGCAAACGTTTGTTTTCTCTTCTCAATTGTAATATAGTTTTAATGCATATAACACTTTAAATTTTGTTTCAGTTTATTCATATTTTATATGCACAAACTATTCAATATAAAAAAGTTAAACAGAGTATGTATTAAAAAAGCCCACCAAAAAACAAAAAAAAAACTATAATAAACAACAAAATACATTAATATAATTATAAAGACTGATCAAAAACTCTAATTGACAGAATAACGAATACAAAATTTAACGATTATATTCAGTGTTGTAAAGCAACTAATGTAGCTGTTTTCAGTTTTTATCTAATTCAGTTACAATATTTATTTTATTATATTTAAATTAGCTGGTATATAATGAACGATATAATATAATTTTAATATAAAATTTTAATGATACATATATGTGGTTGTGCGTAAAATTTATATTTGTAACATTAAATGTATTTATATAACTTAGTATCTAAAATTCTTTTCGTATGTGAGATTGCAGATATGCAAAATATTGCATAATGTAAATTACAGAGTTTTTGTCGATGTTTAAAAAGAAGTTTTAAAGTTAATTAACATATCTATAACCAAAAAAGGAGAACATTTTGCGAATATATGCGAATTATATATCATATGTACAGTTCAGTTTTTGTTTTATGTATACGCTTACATATGTTATATACATACGTATATATACAAGTATATATATCTATATATATATATATGTATATATATATATATATATATATTCATATATATAAATAGATATATGTAATATATATATATATTCAAATATATTATTCTGTCAACGTAACACTAATTCAGGAGTTAGTTGATTACTTACTTCAAAAAACGAAATCTTGATAGGAAATACTTTGTATATATAAATGAATACGTTAATAAGTGGAACTTTATAAGATAATTAAAATAAATAGAAAATACAAACTACATCATTTGCATTTGCAGATTTATCTTTAATGTGCATATGCTTAAATAAATTACGAGTAATTCGTTTATATTAACTGTTGCTAAAAAATCTCCTAAAATTAAAGTAATATAAAATTAAAGCAGGGTATCGTGTTTATTCGACTATTCTATGCATCTCTGATATCGTAGGGGTGTTAAAAATATCTAAAATATATGAACGTAAATAAATACTCGTATATTTTCTCAATTAAAGTTGGGTAACAATATAAAGACATTTTTTTTTAATCGAATAGGTTCTCTGCAAATAAATGTAACTTTAAACAATTATACTTATATAATAAATGTATTTTGTGTATATGTGTGTAAACAAGCTTTCAAAAGCTAAATTAAAAAATAAATGGTATACAAAAAACATAACGTGTTATTAATGTTGTTAATATGGGAATTATTTCATTATATATATATATATATAATTTTGTTATACTTTAGTGATCCAATTAGGTACAGTTTGAATTAACTTTTTCATTTCAATTATTATTAATTTTAATATCTCTTTAACTTTCAACATTTTATTTTTCACTGATTCGATTTTGAATGATAGGAAATTATTACAGATGCTTAAGTTTTAATATTCATTGATAAATTTTAAAATAATATCTAAATGATGTAATAATATAATTTTATACATTTAGCTTATAGCCTTAGTAGTCGCATTAAGAATTTGAACCCATTGTATTAATTGATATAACAAAATTAAACTCTTTATTTTAATGTTTTATCACTGCCAGTTCAAAATCTGGT